CAATAAAGTAAAACTGTATATTAACTGTATGCAATAAAGTACAGTTAAGCAAAATGCACAGTTAATATAACAGAGTTAATACACCACAGTAACTGAAATTTGAACCATGTTGTTGGAAGATTAGTGTTATTTAATTAAGTTGTGGTAACTGGAATTTATGCATATTGGAACCATGCAAAGAAAAGTATGCCTGTATTTTTGGATACTGGGTTAAAGTATATAATTAAAATTATTTGTACCTGTTTCTTTTTACTTTTTGAATTAACTAATAGAAAAATTTAAATCATATTTGTGGCTCACACTATATCCCTATTGGACAGTCCTGCTCTGTACCATACATTAACAAAAAATTTAGGAGAAGAAAATAAAGAAATATACAGTTGAAAAAGAATGAAACATTGTTAGAGTTTTAAGTAGTCGGCAACAAAGGAAGAGATTCCAGTCTTCACAAATTGAACATGATTGTATAGTGAAAAACAGTAAAGCTAAAATTAAAAAGATAATAGATTGGGAAAATATTTACATCATATATGTAAGCCAAAGGCAATTTGCTGATATTATGAAATTATTCATTCAAACTTATTCCAAAATTATCAAGATCCCAGTAGATTGTTAAACAGATGAATAGGCAATTTATATTAGAGAAAATTGAAATAGTAAATGAATACCTAAAAAAATGTTTATCTTGTCTAGTTATCAAAGGCATGGAAATCATTGTTAACTTCGAGTTACAATTTCCTATCCACTCTATTAACAAAACAATTACAACCCTCAACACTGTGGGAAATTTGGTGATTTCATGCACCGTGACTGACACTGTAATTAGAAACAACGCTTTTAGTTAGCAATACTGTATAAATAGGAAAAGACAAAAAGACATTTTTAACCCTTGGACCTAGTAATGCCTCTCCAGAGAATTTAAGAAAATGAAATAATCCAACAGGGATAAAAAGTTATATATACAGTAACATGTAGATTGTATAAATTCTTATAGTAGCAAAAAAAAAAAAAAAAAAAAAAAAAAATATGGAAAATTTAAAAAATTTTAATAGAAAAAAAAAAAAAAAAAAAAAGAGAAAATTTGAGGACATTCTAAATGTCTGATATAGAACACTACATCCAACAGTGACAAAATGCATTATATTTTCCAAGTGCTTATGGAAGGTTTACTAGAGCTTAGCACATGCTGTGTCATAAAGCAAGCTGCAATGTATTTCAAAGGAGTGAAATCATTCAGAATATGCTCTTTGAGGACCGTAGAATTATGCAAGAAATCTGTAACAAAAGCTAACCAGAAAATCACCAACTGTTTTAAAAGTAAGCTATTAAATTACAAATAACTCGTGAATCAAAGAAGGAAACACAGTAAGAACTAGAAAATATTTTGAACTAAATGATAGCAGAGACATGGCGTATCAAAACATGTAGATAACAGATAAATAACGCTCAAGGAAATAATTGCCAACCTAGAGTTCTATAACAATACAAATATTTTTCAAATAGGATGGTGAAATAAATATATCATCAGATTAGCAAAAACTAGGCGAATTCATTCAGTGCCTAGAGGAAAATTTATATTCTCAAATGTATATATTAGAAAAGAATTAAATGCTGCATATCAATAACTCAAGTTTTCATCTGAAAACAAAACACAATTTTAAATATCACCACACGCAACAAATTAATCCAAAGAAAGTAGTAGGAAATTAATAGTAAAAAGAAAAGCAGAAATAAGATAAGTAGAAAATAAGTATTAATGCAATAAAGAAAAAAACTTATTTCTTGAAAAATACATATTAAATGGATAAAGTTATGATAAGATTGATGTAAAAAAGAGAGCAAATTACCAATACCAGTAAAAAATAAGGAGACATTAGTACAGATACTATAGATATTTAAAAGAGAAAAAGACATTACAAATAATATTATGCCAATTCCAGTGAAAGAAATTCCTTGGAAAACATAGCTTACCAAAATTGACACAATAAGAAAGAGTAATTAGAATATTATATATCTACTAAAGAATTTAAATTTTTTTTTAAAACCTCTGCACAAAGTATACTCCTGGTCTGGATGGTTTCTTTGGTGATTGGTAGCAAATATTAAAGCAAGCGATAACTCCAATTTTTATACACTCTTCCAGAAAATAAAAAAGAAGGTAGCCTTCCTAGACTTTCTATGGGACCAGCATAATCTTGATAGATAAATTAGTTAAGGAAATTGTAAGAAAGGAAAATTACAGACAAACTTGTAGCATGAAATATATATATATATTCTAAATAATATATTAGGAAATAGAATTCTTTGATATATAAGTAGAGAAGGTATCACAACCAAATGAAGTTTATTTCAGAAATGCTAACAGTGATTTACTATGAATAAAAAATCAATATAGTTCACCATATTTGCAGAAAAGTGGAGATAAATAAAATTATCTTAATGATTACAAAAACACGTTTGATAAAACGCAATATTAATTCGTGATAAAAACTCTTAGCAAACCAGGAAATCAATTTGATGGTGAATTATTGGAAACTTTCTTCCTGTGATTAGGAGCATGATATGGATACCTGCTACATCTATTAAAAGAAAAACAGAAATCTTAACCAAGGCAATAAGGTTATATAAAAGAAATAAAAAACAGTTTGGAAAAGGCTGAAATAAAACTGTCACTTTTCATGGACAACAAAATTGTACATAGAGAATCTAAAATAGAATCTAGAGACAACTACTAGAATTTATAAGTAAATTTGGCATGGTTGTTGGATCCAAGATCAATGTATGAAATCAATTGCATTTTTATATATTGGCAACAAAAATGCAAATAAAATTAAAATTAAAAAGATATGATTTACATTAGCATAAAAACTTTCAAATCTAGAAATGTGTTTAATGATAGATGTTTAAGATCTTTATGCTGAAAACTACAAAACTTTGCCAAGAGAAATTTTAAAAGCCTAAATATAGAGAGATCTGTCCCCCCATTTTTGTGGTTTAGAATGAAAATGGCCAGGATATAAACTGTCTCCAGCCTAATCTTTAGATTATACACAATCCTAACTAAAATCTCAGCAGGTTTTGTGTAGAAATTGACAAGCTGATTCTAAAATTCATATAAGAATGCAAAAGGCAAAACATAGTCAAGGAGATTATTTATAAAAAGAAAGATTATGTTGAGGACTTACACTTTCAGATATTGAGACATACCATAAAGCTATTGTAATTAAGAGAGATTGAACTTTGTGTAACAATAGATAAAAAGACCAATGGAACAGAACAGAGACTCCACATCTCTATAGTTATCTGATATTTTACAAAAGTGACATTGCTGTATAGTGTAGAAAGGATGACCTTTTTAATAAATGGTGCTGTTATTTGGATATCCACATGGGAAAAATAAATCTTTATCCTACACAAATCAATTCCAGTCAGATTGTAGATCTATATGCAAAAGTTTATATTTATTGGTTAATAAATGCTTAGGGAAAAAACACAGAAGATATAGTTATTATCTCAGGTAGACAAAATTTTCTTAATTGGAATATAAAATGTACTAATCATAAAATGTTCACTTGGACTACATTAAAGTTAGGAATTTCCTATTCATTAAAAGACACCATTAAGAGAGTGAAAACATAAGCCACACAATACTGAGCATATTGTTAATATATATAAAAAGACTCATATCCAGAATATATAAAGAACTGAAAATCATTGAGAAAAAGTTAAATAATGCAATATAAAAATAGGCAAATGACTTAAACAGTCACTTCATGAAAGAGGATATCCAAATGGTCAATAAATGTGAGAGCATGTTTAACCTCATCAGTCATCAGGGAATGTAGATTGAAATCACAATATGACACTACTATGCATTCATTGGAATAGCCAAGCAAAGAAGATGGATAATACAAAATATCGGTGAAGGTATGGAACAAGTGAGCTCTCATTCGTTGCCGACAAGAGTGTACATTGGTACAATTACTTTGAAAAAATGTTTGGAAGTCTCTACTAGCAATATGCATATCCTATGAGCCAGCAATTGCACTCCTGTCTATATACCCAATAGAAATGCATGCACAGTGCACCCACAATATACAAGAATGTTCATTGTATTATCTGAAATAGTTCCAAACTGGAGCAATGTGTTCATCAACAAAAAATGAATACATAAACTTTGGCATATTTATACAATGAATACTATAAAGCAATAAAAAATAATGAACCGCTGCTACATGGAACAAAGGGTAAGTTTTCAGATGTTAATGTTGACTTAAATAAGCCTGACACATATGATTTTATACTGTATGATTATATTTATATTAAGCACAAAAATGTAGGCAAAACCAGTCTTTGTTTATGGAAGTCAACATAATGGCTGACTTTGGGTGGGTGCTGTGATTGAGGTGGGTTGCTGGTAATGTTTTGTCATTCAGCTAAATGGCTGTTTATAAACTTTGTAAAAATTCATCAAGCTATATTACGATTTGTGAGTTTTTGCATGAATGTTATATTTCATAAGAAAGTTTATAAAGCAGAATAGGAACAGGGAAATTGTGTGTGTGTGTGTGTGTGTGTGTGTGTGGTGTGTGATGTGTGATGTGGTCAGGATTGCTGAATGTTTCTGCACACTTTAGAAAGAGGAGAGGTGCAGGAGAGAAACAATTGAGCCCAATCGAGTTGAAAGTGAGGAAACCTACATAGTATTCATAAGGATGGAGAGTCTGCCATGTGTTCTGTGATTTATAGTTCATAAAGGACTTCTCTGTGCATTAACTAAATTCCTCTTCACAACAACCTTTTGATGTAAAAATTAATTATTGTCTCCATTTTGCCTTTCAGAAAACAGACTCAGAGATATTGGGTGATATTTCTTTTCCTTTCTTTCTTTTCTTTTTTTTTTTTTTTTTGAGATGGAGTCTCACTCTGTAGCCCAGGCCAGAGTGCAATGGCGCGATCTTGGCTCACGGCAACTTCCGCCTCCCGGGTTCAAGCGATTCTCCTGCTTCAACCTCCTGAGTAGCTGGGATTATAAGCATGCACTACCACGCCCGGCTAGTTTTTGTATTTTCAGTAGAGATGGGGTTTCACCATGGGTGATATTTCCAAGGAAGCAAAACCATGAAGTGTAGAACCACTATGCTGTTTTCACTACACTGCTGTTAGAAAACTAGACATTTGGATGGAAGAACATGCTGTGCTCTGAAGGTTTGTGTCCCTCCAAAATTCATGTTGAAACTTAATCTCCATTGTGCTGGTTTTTGTTGTTGCTGTTGTTGTTGTTTTTGTTGTTTTTTTTTTGTTGTTGTTTTTTTTTTTGAGATGAAGTGTCACTCTGTTGCCCAAGCTGGAGTGCAGTGGTGCGATCTTGGCTCACTGCAACCTCCAACTCCCAGGTTCAAGTGATTCTCATGCCTCAGCTTCCTGAGTAGCTGGGATTACAGGAATGCATCACAATGCCTGGCTAAATTTTGTATTTTTAGTAGAGATGGGGTTTCACTGTGTTGGTCAGGCTGGTCTTGAACTCCTGACCTAGTGATCCACCCACCTCGGCCTCCCAAAGTGTGGGGATTACAGGTGCGAGCCACTGTGCCCGGCCTGTGGTAGTTTTAGGAGGTGAAGCCTTTTGGGAAGTGACTAAGTCATGTGGGCTCCACCCTCATAGATGGGATTAGTGTCTTTATAAAAGAGGCTTTGGGGAGCTGCCTGACCCTTTATCCCTTCTACCATGTGAGGACACAGCATTTGTCCCTTCCAGAAGATGCAGCAACATGGTACCATCTTGGAAACAGAGAGTAGACCCTTACCAGGCACCAAATCTGCTAGCACCTTGGTCTTGGACTTCCCAGGCCCCAAAACTGTGAGAAATCAATTTCTATTATTTATACATTTCCCAGTCTAAAGTATTTCATTGTGATAGCAGGAATGGACTAAAACAGAATATGCTATATGCTATGTGGAATTAATTATTCCTCACAAATTTTCTACAAAGTTGGTGTTATCATCTTCAGTTTGCAGATGTGGTTCTGGAATACCAAATAACCTATGAACATACAATCTAGTAAGTGGCCAAGGCAGTATCTGAACATGTATCTGTCTTCCTCTAAAGCTCATCTCTTTCTCTCAAATGTGGCTGCTAGCTGCTTATGTGTGGTATAAACGATTCAGCTGCAAGAACTCAGACAGCAGAAAGATCACTGTAGGGTGGGTCAGGGAGCCTTTGTGGAGGTGAAGGTACCCTTTGAGACAGATTAATTAATTAATTAATTAATTATTTTTTTTCTCAACTTTTTTTTTCTATTCAGGGAGTACATGCACAGATTTGTTACCTTGGTATATCGCATGATGCTTAGGTTTGGGAATACAAATGATTCCATCACCCAGGTACTGAGCATAGCACCCAGTAGTTAGTTTTTCAACCCTTGACCCCCTTATTCTCTCCCTCCTCTAAGAGTCCCCAGTTTCTATTGTTGCCATCTTTATACCCATGAGTACCCAATGTTTAGCTCCCGTTTCTAAGTGAGAATGTGCAGTACTTGGTTTTCTGTTTCTGCATTAATTCACTTAGGATAATGGCCTCCAGCTACATCCATGTTGCTGCAAAGTAATCCATAATGTATATGTACCACATTTTCTTTACCCAGTCCACCACTGATGGGTTGACTCCATGTGTTTGCTATTGTGAAAGTGCTGCAATGCACATGTGAGTGCATGTGTCTTTTTGGTAGAAAGATTTGTTTTCTTTTGGATATATACCCAATAATGGGTTGCAGGTCAAATGGTAGTTCTGTAGAAATGTGAAATGAGATGGGATTAAATAGGAGACCAAGATGTGGAAAGAACTCTGAGTTTTGGGGGAATGGAGAAGATCAAGAAAGTGTTGGAGGGCTCATTGGTCAGTGAGCAGCCTTGTTTGGCTGAAGTAGAGGGTTTTTTAAGTTCCAAGAAGTCAAAGACTGTTTTGTGAATTGAGTTATCCCCAATGCTCAACACAAATTAAATGCTCGATTAATACCTGTTGAACGAATGAAAGGATAAATGAATAAACCGATTGGTTAGCATCAAAATTTGTGCACTTTTTAGCAACGTAACAGTTTATGGATGGCATAGTTCATTCAGTCCACTGATAACACAATTAGGTTTAATTTGACACACTAGTTAAAAACCTGAGAAGTACCTAGAAAACGAGATGGTACCAGCTAAGCCAATTGAGAAAATATTCAGGAACATCCGAGTGTTCTAAGTGTGACTGCTTTTGAGTCCTAAAGGTATCTGAAGGCACAGGGTGAAGGCTTAGATGACTGCCTATCCTGGGGCCAGCACCTGCAGATTGTCCAGAGAGTGCCTGCCCAACTCCTTCCATTTGGGACTTTTGAGCCTTTGTCCTTGCTGTCAGACTGGTGCTTTTGGGAAACTTCTCTATAAGCTCTGTTTTCACAAGAAAAATAATTTGTTGGGATAATGATCTACATGATGCGACAGAGTATTTCAGGCACTACCTCCTATTTGAAGGGAGAAATAGTGTTTCAGGTCGCTCTCTAAGAATTTCTCTTTTTTGATCTTGCAGGAACACTACTCCCCAAATAGGTTCTGCCCATGGGATGTGGAGATGATGAATTTTCTTACCTCAGTGTTGCTGACACTTAGATCCATGTGCTTCTGGAAAGACTCATTTCTAAGAAATCATGGCTGATTGAATGATTGTATCCCCCAGGTGTTTAATAATGGATCCATGTCAATCCTAAAAGAAGTTTCTTGTGGACCGCAATAATGTTCTGCCTGTAAACGTCTCCATATTCATGAAGATGTGAAAGCCAGACTTCAGACAGACAATTAGAGGGTATTAGTAATGTATATTGGATGAGAAATTGTGACACAAAATTTTAATAGGCTGCAAAAGTGTGCTAAAATTCACTAGGTATTAATGATGTCATAGGTTCAGATAGACACTGAGACAAGTGTGAACAGAATACATGAGATTACACTGAAGTTCAATTAACTGCTAGTCAAAAACTAAAAACTAAAACAATGTATTCTGTAGTAAACACTTGCAGCCCTGTGCTCCCAGTTCACCTTTTCTAGAAGTTGCCCCTTTTCCTTGTCCAGATGGTTGCAAAAAAGCACTGAAGTCACAACATGACCTGGTTCCTGGCCACAGTTGATAGGTCCAGAAATTGATATTCAACTTAAGAATAAGGATCTGTTCTGTTTATTTTAAAATCAGAACCAAGAATGGTAAGCTGGCCTGTCTTCGAAAGCCTGGACTCTAAGAAGTAAAGCTCTGGATTTATGGGCAGCCATGTCCCCTATCACTGGGTCAGCAGAGGAATCTAGTCTTTGGAGAGAGGAGTGGACGTGAGAGATGGAGAGACTCCTGTCTATATTTGGATTCCTCCGGTCAGTTGTTCCTGTGGCTCCATTGCCTTTCTCTTCCTTCAGTATTACTGTATTTTAATAACCTAATAGATCCTTATATCTTCCCTTTCAACTCAAGCTAATTAAGTTTCTGTTTTTTGCAAAGCAAAATGTTCCAAGTCATAACACATGACTGAAGCTCCAGATATAGTGCCCTGAATAAGGGTGGAGTAATCATAATACTGAATCTCCAGGTGGCCATGTCTAAACTTTGCCTTGGCCACACAAATGTGGTCAGCGTGGTCATTTCCAGGCTCAACTTTCTGAAGATGATGGTCAAGAAACAAGTCTCTGAGGAAGAGCAGGTAGCTGTTTAGAAATGTTTAAAGGGTTGCCATGTATATGTCAAAGTAGATGTTCTATGTTGCTCCAACGGACAAAACTGATACCAATAGTCAAAAGTTGGAATGCAGATTTTGACTGAATATGAAAATTGTGTTTGTAAGTATTAGAATTATCAAATAAAGGAATGGATGACCTAGTGAAGGATCAAGGTATCTTTCAGTGGAAGGTTGGGTCAGAACTTAGATATACGTTTATTTGGGAGTTTGATGAATAGATGGCTACTAATAGCTGTCGTTGATCAAAGGCTTTCTATGTGTCAAACACTGTGCTTGACATATGCTTTATATAAATTTACTCATCTTCATAATAATCATATGAATAGATATATCTTATATGTTTAATACTAGTTATCAAATATTATGTATAAGTACAATATTTTGGTAATTTTAAATGTAAAATTGAAAAGATAATTTGTTATGCTTCGATTGTGGAATTATGCTACAATTAATTTCAGTCTTTGTAGTATTTGTAATTTTACCACTTCGTGGCATTTTTGCTACTTTTAAGTTTTAAACTCTTTAACTGATACATAATTTTATGCATATTTATGGAGTATGTGTGATATTTTATTACATGCGTAGAATGTGTAATGCTGAAATCAGGGTTTAGGGTATTCATCACCTCGAGGACTTATCATTTCATTGTGTTGGAAACATTTTAAATCCTCTCTTCTGGCTATTTTGAAATATGCAATACATTGTTGTTAACTATAATCACCCTACTCTGCTATTAAATATTAGAACTTATTCCTTTTCTTTAACTGTATGTTAGTTCTCACCAACCCACCTCTTTTCATCCCCCAGCAACACCCCACCAACACACACACACACACACACACACACACACACACTCACTTCTCAGCCTCTGGTAACTATCATTCTACTCTCTACCTCCATGAGATCAACTTTTTTAGTTCTCATATATGACCGAGAACATGCCATATGTGTCTTTCTGTGCCTGGCTTACTTCATTTAACATAATGACCTCCAGTTCCATCCATGTTGCTACAAATGACAGGATTTCATTTTTTTATGGCTGAATAGTATTCCACTGTGTATTTTTGCCATATTTTCATTATCCATTCATTGACTGATTGTTATTTTAAATTAATGAATAATTCCCAATTTTGACTCAGTTCTATAGGATATAGTGGCCCTTCCAGATGTTAAAATAATATAAGCTACCACATTTTCATTTCCATTATGATTATTTCAGTTGTATTTACCCAATTGCTTCCCATATATTTTTCTGGGTATAGTTGATAATGTCCTTTTGTTTCTTATATAGCAGGAAAACCAACTTTCGTTGCCCTATTCTGTAGCTGTGAAGTTCAACTATTTTATCTTTCATAGGTGGGTAAGAACAGGAGTAATATTTTCTATTTTACTGTTGATCACCATCCCAAAATCCTTAATATTATTTGCTCCATAAAAGTTCCAAAACCAACACTCAAGAGTTTGCTTAACATCAGACTGAGTAAATAATTTCTTTGAAAAGTTAACCAGAATTTGATATCTAGTCTGACCTATGATATTCTTTATAAAATAAGGAATTCTTATGTATCATACTGAAATCTAAAATATATATTCTTGAGCTTTAAAATGCTTTCTAAAACTTTCTATTTAATTCTGCATTTTTTTTTACCAGCTACTGTAAAAATTCTGCCACATCACATCATTGTTGCCTTACTTTGTTCATCCTTGTTTCCTAGTTTGTCCCATGTTTTTTAACTCTATAAAATGCCAGTGAAGAGACTAAACGTAAATATACAGAGATCATGGCTAAGCCAGATGCAGAGAGCCTGACAGTGAATGCCAGATGCCAGAGATTCTCTTCAATTTAAATATTCAGCACCAGGTGGTTCAGTTGACCTAACAAAAGAACACGTGTTCATGAGATACAAAGATAGAATTGGAGATACCAGTTCTCATTTGGATAAAATTTAGTTATTTAATGAAAGCTTGCAAGAAGGGTTTGAAATCAAGTAAAAATGAAATTGAGTTAAATATTCATTTACATCTATACAGAAGGAAAATGTTATTGCAATTTGTAAAATTTCTTTTCAGAAGTAATTCTCAGGACAAATGCTAGTATTTATAACATCAGCTAGAGAAAAAAATCCTTTAATTATGCTTTAGAGAAAGCATAATATTAAGTCTGTTTCCAACTCCCTAAAGAGTGGCAATAATTAAGATAATCAATGTTTCCTAATATGGGTTAAAGTAGAAATAGAATTTCTTTTAAAATACATTGTATTTCTTGTTTTGAAAGATCTTATAGCTCAAATTTAAGTTAGTGCCTTTATAACTAGCTACAGTAAAAAAGCTGGCCATGGACTTTGATCTTATACAGAAACTAACGACCTTAGGAGTATTCCAGGATGTTTTATTAACACAAGTGAAGTGAGTTAACACAGATGTGCTGTAATATGTGTTTGTGATACGTGTTCACATACATGTGAAGCATATGTGTGTGCATGCCATTCAGTACTTCTGTTTTCAAAGTGGCCACTGTCTTAGAAAGCCATCAAATGAGGGCAGGATGTTAACTTTACCATTAACTAAGCAAGACGACATTGCCATCACTTACATTTATTCCTTACAAGTTACTTTTTAAGTGTACAATAGAGGTTCATGAGGAAGTAGCCCCTTAAAAATGTTTTAGACAATGTTTAAAATACGTATAGCAAATGAATAACTATATAGTCAATGCATTGGAATCATACACTTGCTGTATATTATTGCTTTGTAAGGGGTTGTATTAGTTTTCTGTCACTTCTATAATCAATTACTACAAATTTGACAGCTTAAACAGTGCAGACTTATCATCTTATGGTTCTAGAGAGTAGAAGTCCCACATGGGTTGCACTGGGCTAAAATCAAGGTATCTGTTGTGTTCTTTCCTGGATACTCCAGGGCAGATCCCATTTCCTTGTCTTTTCTAGCTTCTAGAGGCCACCCACATTCCTTGACTCATGGTCTCCTTCGTCTATCTTAAAAGCCATCATCATTGCATCACTGTGCTTTTCTTTTGTGGTCACATCCTCTGACTGACTCTGCCTCCCTCTTCAACTTTTGAGGGCCTTCGTGATTACATTGGGTCACTGGATAGATCAGCACAATCTTCCTATTACAAGGTAAATGGATTAACAACCTCATTTCCACCTGGTCCCTTAATTCCTCTTTGCTATGTAAATACTTGTAGCCCTGTGTTCACAGGTTCTGAGGATTAGAATGTGAACATTTGGGGGAAACACTTATTCTGCCCATTATGGGGTGATTTGGGGGGTTTCACCATCCAAAAAGCAGACTTTTGCATAATTTCTTTGTTTTTAAGACGGCAGCCCATCTTTTGCTACTGGTGTTTGGACTCCCTTGATTCCATTTCTCTTCCTGTCTTCTGCTATTGCAAAGGAAGACCACAGTCTAACTGTATCTGGCTGAGGAGGAAACCTTGGGGTTTATCTCCTTCTTGACCAACTCTTCTCTTTTCTGTCCCATTCTATTTCCCCATCTTTAGGAGTGCCATGTCCTCCCAATTTTAAGCCTCTTTAGGGTTCTAGCCTGTGAATTAGTTTCCAAGCTTGGCCACTGAAAGAAGTTTTCTACCTAATAGCATTTTTTGCCTACAATTTTTTTCTTTCTAATTCTCTTGTTTCTTATGGATAAAAAATTAATTGCTATAGTTTTAGAAAGGTTTCAGGAGAAAGTAGAGACATACATGTGTGTTCCATCAGCCATGTCTAACCAGAAGTCTAAGATACTTATTTTATAGAAGACAAAGTCCTAAGCCTGACAAGTAATTTGTCTACGATCACAAAGACAAATAAATTGGAACCAGAATTCTATTCTAGGCTTTTCTGATCTTTGCTTTGGGAGGATGATTAGATGCAATAAACTTTAAGGTCTCTCCTTAATATATTAAAGATACATTAAACCACAGTGATTCTCAAGATTTATTGTCTGTCTCAGCTGAGAGGCAATTTGTATTATATACATGTCATATAGTTCTGATAAGATTTTAATTAGCTTGAGAAATTTATATGTCTTCATAACTCATATTGTATCATATACATGATGGTCACCTGATAAATATTATAATCAAAGAATATGAATGCTTATTTGCCAAGCAGAATTGATCTTCAGAGTTTCCTAATGTGTAATCCTAGGATCTGGCCTAGGGCTCAGATAAAACTCCTGTTACTATGTAATGGTAATTACATAGCAAGATTCTTCACTCCAGTCAGCTGCTCACATGTTGCTCCCAAAGCTCTTACAGAAGCAATTTGAGATAAGATGGCCAAGGTTAACTGTATGTATTATTACTGCTGGCTAGCTATTGGCATAGTACCTAAATTTCAGGTAATTGTTTTGATCAACACATTTGGTATTTGGAGAACATTAATGGGAGTCATCAATGTTAGCGATATTTTTCTTGTAGTCTCCTAGCCTCAGGCGTAGTGGAGATAGTGTTTAGGCTGAGCTATGACCTTCACTGCTTTAAGAATTAAAAAGTTTGTGGCGTCAAGCAAACGAGAAGACAAACCACAGACTGGGAGAAAATATCTGCAAAAGACATATCTGATAAAGAACTATTATACAAAATATACAAAAAACTCTTAAAACTCAACAATAAGAATACAGACAATTTGGTTAAATAGTAGATAAAAGACCTTAACAGACACCCACCAAAAGATGTATTCAGATGGAGAATAAGCATATGAAAAGGTGGTCTACATTGTATGTTATCATGGAACTGAAAATTAAAATGACAAAGAGATATCACTATGCACGTATTAGGATGGCCAAAATCCAGAATGCTGATAAAACCAAATGCTGGCAAGGATGTGGAACAACAGGAACTCTCATTCATTGCTGGTGGAAATACAAAATGGTACGTCACTTTGGAAGACAGTTTGGCAATTTCTTACAAAACTAAACATGCTCTTACCATATGATCCAGCAATCACACTACTTGGTGTTTACACAAAAGAGTTGAAAACTTATGTCCACACAAAAACCTGAACATGGATGTTTATAGCAGCTTTATTCATAGTTGCTCAAACTCAACAGCAACCAAGATGTCCTTTGGCAGGTGAATGGGTAAATAAACTCTGGCGCATCCAGACAATAGAAA